GCCCTAGATTATTTGCTTTCACATTTCTATTAATTTTCAACTATGACATATCAAACTGGTGCAGCAAATGTACAAAACAAATTTTAATTTTGCTGCACATATCTCCCCTCACCAGACTACTGAACCATTTTTTCTATGCAGTATAAAGGATACTCACAAGAGCCTATTATGTAAGTTTACTTTTGAAATCCCCAGGAATATATGTTTTCCCTGTGATGGATCCATGTTAGTGTTTGCATGAATAACACTTTTGACTATGCATTAACCTATGTACATTTTAACAACTGGTACCTTTAGTCAAAGAGGTACTAAATAATGATAGCTTTAAACCATGAAGCACCAAATATATCTAAAAGTTCTTATCCCACACACATTAGAAAGTGGGGTCAGTTTTCTTATAAATTTTCAAGGATCTTAATTGATGCTGGGAATTACATAGTTGATACACAAGGAACCTGTAAAATTAATGCAGCAAAGCAGATCTCCAACATGTTACCCCATGGTTAAAGTCAAGTTATATGGTCATATTTAAATATACATAAATGTTTGCAAAACACAAATTAACTTTGACAACTTTCTTTTAACTTCATTTATGCAATGCATTTGCTAATCCTGTTAAAAGGTATTATAGAAATGTGTGTGTGTGTGCGTGCGTGTGTGTGTGTGCGTGTGTGTGTGTGCATGTGCGTGTTGTGTGTGCGCGTGTGTGCGTGTGTGTGTGTATTTGAGAATTCAACTTTTTTATATATCTAATTTGAAAATGCAGTTATGTAATTAGTTATATCAGACCTTGTGCCAAGTACATAATCAATGTGGGATATATAATAAAACACTCTTGAATGTAAAAATAATTTTTTTTTTCTAATATTGACATGGCAGCAGCGCTACAACAAGAGTAACAACAACAACAACAACCTTGGAGGTGATAGTGTATTGCTACAGCAGGACAATATGTTTGTCCTTCAGTGACAGGAGCTGGGGTGGGTGGGTGGTGTGGGGTGGCAGCGTCTTGTTATAAGGAAATGTCTGGGGTGGTGTAAGGTATTAGCATCCAACTTGTTAGAAGAAAATGTTGGAAAGTGAGGAAAAGGACTGAGATATGTGGAAGTTGATGTGACTACTATAGATGTGTCCACAATGATGCACCACCAAATCCAGAGAAGGGGGGCAGCATGGGGAAGATAGAGGAGGGTGGGGGATAGGACTGAGAGTGAGAAGGAGGCTGGAAACTGTGGCTGGATGGGCGCGCAAAGAGAGCGAAGGGCGTCCACTAGCTTTGGCAACATCAGGGTTTATCTGATCACAGGGAAGAATCTACCTAAGTTTAATAAGAAAGGTACAACAATACTACAAAGGGGAAGGAGGCATCCAAAAGATTCCATGGACAGGTTTATGCGTCATGCATCAAATGTGATATTGATTACTTTAGGACTTTAGGAACTTAATATATATCATATGCATTTGCAGTATGATGCAACATTCATACATCAGTGAAAAGGGGGCAGACAGTATATGTCCATGAAAACAATGGAGCCAATGTGATGTCCACATACAAAATACAACAGTAAAATGTCTAAAAGTGGAAATGGCAGTGTCTATTGTCTAAAGGAAGGTAAGTCTAATGAAAGGAAGGACACATTTGTAACTACAAGGGCAGTCTCTATATCTACACATCTCCTAGTGCAGAGAGAGGGGGATAAAGGTTTCTGTTAGGATGAAGGGGCCACATTACTAAAGCCACAGAAAAGGACAATATGAGTGAGGGAACAACAGATGTCCATGGGCTTAAAGGACAGCACCTACTAGTTTAGGAGGAAAGAATGTATTTTTGAACACACTTGTACCCAATATCTTGAAAATACATTCTCACATGTACAAACACGATCTGACTCCTGGGTACAGAATGAAACAGAAGACATATTCTACTTATAATTTCCACTACCCAAGAAAAGGAAAAACAAAACTCCAAGAAATAACTATACCACTATACAGTTTCTGTCATTACTCTTTCCCATGGCCCTTACAATGGAAAGAGACAGAAGCATAAACAAGAATGAAATTTAGGACGGAGATCAACTCTGTCGCCAAAGCAGGTTAAAGGCTGGGTGTGTTGCAGCAAGCCTCAAACTAGAAATTATACTATTACTTGAAGTAAGCAGAATTGCACATGTACAGAGGATGCCTGTGGTGATATATAAAGAAAGGACACATCATATTCCATAAAAACAATAACAGAACTTGCTTAGAGCTAACAATGGCAGAGAGTTCAAGTCAATCTGGGCAACAAGTGCAATGTACAGTAAAATAGCCTGAGAGAGAACAAGCAAAAAACAAAAGGAATATAAACACAGAATACATAAGAAATAACAATAATCTTCAAAAAGATAATAGGACAGTTTAGAGTTTGGACCAAATTAACACCAAGGACATGAATGTCTTTTTGGTAGAAACATGCCAAGTCACTTGTACTAAATGTGTCAAAACATTTTGCATCTGAAGCTACCAAAATAACCAGAATTAACAAGGATTAAGCAATGTGGAACCTTAATTCACTAAATAACACTTCCAAACTGTTCTAATCTTACATTTTTTTTAATGACTGAAATTTTAATACATTAATAACAGCTCATATCATATGCAGTGACAGGTATACACAATCAACATTTAAGGAAATCAGTAAATATCAGAATGAATGACATTATACTTAACAAAATAAATGGAGAATAAAAGGTCAAGGGAAAAATAAAAATTACATATTCTCATGTGACTCAAGGAGGTATGAATCACAAAGGCAAACCAATAACAAAAAACACTGCCGAAAATTCTGCATAAACATAGCATTTACAAGAGAACAGAAAATGTCAAGGCATGACACACAGAAGGACTAGGACATGGGTATATGTACAAATGAATAAATGCAAAATTTCAAGAGGGTGAAAATAGATCTCAGAAAAATTCATATCAGATCACAACTGTCTTCATGAATTATGCTTCATGGAAATTATGCAGCAAAAATATCACCCACAATGATATTACTTATTTCAAGTACCCAAAAGGGACTTTTTACAAGGGTAAAATATATAATCACTGGTTTGCCCATTAGTAATGATGAAATTAACATACAGGAAAAAAAGTAAATCTGCCATATACTATTGTAAAATGAAGAGTGATCATTAATAAATATCCACATACCTCACCAATCCCCTCCTTGTAGCAATTTTGTCACATAAAAATGAAAATACAAGAATGAAAAAAAAAGGAAAAAATATATAACCCCTCCCCTCCCCACACCACACTCAGGACACTGCCCCATAAATTGTGCCCAGCATTCCATGGATATTACTTGGGAGAGAAAATAAATTAATTTCACAACTATCCAACACATACAGAAAAAGTGTATACAATGTTACCAACCTGTGCTGATTTCCAATATCCGTTTATATATATATATTAAAATCTCTATCTCTCAGCCAATATGGCTGAGTTATTGGACACCAGTACAATTTTTAGGTAAGAATGATCACCAGGTTTGACTTAAAAATAAATACATCCCAATCATTTCATCACCTCTTTAAGACAAAGATCTCTGCTATTTCTTCCCCAGATTTAAACTCAAATTATCATACTAATCCACACCTCCTCAACAACAAGAGAGAAAAAAATTAAAATAAAAAATTACACATCTGTATAGGATTTGATTACATTTCAAAAGATATTAAATACCATCCTTTATTTCTATCCAAGGAAAATATGATTCCACACATTTCCTCCGATAATCACAAAACCAACATAACCCAAATATCTACAACAACCCTTTTATCCTGAAAATACTACACTTTTTAAACTACTGAATGAATTATTATGTAACCACTAGTTACCTACATTACACCATGAAACACATGCACTGTAAAAATGATTAAATGAGCACTTCATTATATTTCACAATTTTCCAAACCAAAATTGTTTTATAAATACTTTAAAATGGTTATTCTACATTCTAAACTCCAACACTTTTTCAATCTTAATAGTTATTACTACATATAGTATGTATATGTATATTCATGTGAGAGAGAGAGAGAGAGAGAGAGAGAGAGAGAGAGAGAGAGAGAGAGAGAGAGAGAGAGAGAGAGAGAGAGAGAGAGAGAGAGAGAGAGAGAGAGAGAGAGAGAGAGAGAGTGAGAGAGTGTGTGTGTGTGTGTGTGTGTGTGTGTGTGTGTGTGTGTGTGTGTGTGTGTGTGTGTGTGTGTGTGTGTGTGTGTGTGTGTGTGTGTGTGTGTGTGTGTGTGAGTGTGAGTGTGAGTGTGTGTGTGTGTGGTGTGTGTGTGGTGTATGTGTGTGTATGTGTGTGTGTATGTGTGTGTATGTGTGTGTATGTGTGTGTTGTGTGTGTGTGTGAGTGAGTGAGTGAGTGAGTGAGTGGGGTTGTGTATGCGTACGTGGAAGTGGAAGTGTAAGTGTGAGTATGAGTGTGAGCATAAGTATGAGTGTAAGTGTGAGATTGAGTGCCAGTGTGTGATTTCTGATATCTTCAAATTATACATGAAAGAATAATTTTTAAACATTGACAATTCAATCAAAGGTAACCATAATGGCTGTGTTTCAACAGCTCCCACCAGAGCCATGAGAAAAAAATCACAAACAAGTAACTATATACACTGTACAAAAATCAAGTCAATTTACATACTAGACCTTTTATCAGGCTACTAACATGTTTCATGCTTATTTTCCTTCTCCCTGAATTTGGAAAACACGACAAGAAAAACAAGAAATATTTCACATACAAAACCAAACACACATTTTTTCCCTTCTTTCTTTCTTTCTTCCCTTCAAACAGTGGAGGACAAATTGGTTAAATTGAGTGTGGCATTTATCACAGTGAAGAGGCAGACACTTGCATCATAATCAGTCTCACAGTTTGGAGGCAAACAGTATACATCCTTGGAGATAGCTTGCATTATACAAATATTAAAATAAAAAATACCATGTGCTGATAACTTGCATTTTTTTTTTTTTTTTACACTCAGTCTCAAAATGCATTCCCAACCAACAAACCAAATATGTGCATACTAAATATTTTGAACAAACCACACAAAATAAAAAATAACCAATATACTTTTTCTGAATTTTAATACTCTGAATATCCCAGTTTCCATTTTCAAGTCATGGGAGAGCTGTTTTCTGATAAAGACTGGAAGGAAAAGGTCAGAATCCACACACTAAAAAATGAAATTGGCTTCATTTTTGTATCTGTACTTTAAACACTGCAACACGTTAAAGGGAGAAAATGTACTTTGCAAATGTAAATTGAAATGTTAATTGCACAGATTAAAATTCATGATTCCTAGTCATTGCTCACAAACCTGATAATCAAAAAACAATAAAAATTTAAACCTTGAAAGTTACCACTCCTATTCCCTATCAGCTACCATTCCCTTAGCTCATAAAATTAAACTATTTCTTTTCAGGAGACTATACCTCTTACCACATACCTGAAAGTCAAAATCCCAAGAAAAAAAATTATGCTTAAATTTTGCCATTCAAAATGTTAAAAAGCTAACTATAATAAGAGCATTCTAGCACTCATCTCCTATGATAATAACATTGCATTTCATGGAAGACTAACGTAATAAATGCATTTCAATCTACGACCATCCATCACTGATAATAGCTGTAGTGCACTGCCTTGTATCATAACTTCACCATCCAAAAACACACATCTACTACACATCTTGCAAATCAACTTGTAAAAAGTACCAGAGAAAAAAAGGACCTTTTAACTTGTTTATTCAATTGGCACAATAATTACGATTGTTTTTTTTTTTTTTTTGGTATCTAGTTCTAAAAATTAATATCAATTTCTAAGACAAATATAACACGTAATCTTAAATTGGTGTTGATGTCAGTGCCATATCTGTCTTACCTTCACCAAAAAATATTAGTATTTATTAATATTTTCCCCTGAAGAAGCAAAGCCATACCTAAAACAGTGAAAAGAACCAATAGCAAAGAAATCAGTATTTGTCTTGGAACAACTGCAGGTAAACAACAGGCTTTATATGCAATATACTTCTATTTCATTTTACAACAATATTAATAAATAATGAAGGGATTGGTACTTTTATTTCTTTAAAGGTTCACTGAATGTATTTAAAATTAAAATTGAACTCTACTGAATTTGAGAAAAAAAAATCAAAACACTTTCCAGTGGCACAAACCTATCTTCCAAATTATGCAGTACTGTATTTGAATAAAATATTTCTTCAGGATCCTTCAAACAAAAAATAAAAATGACATGCCACATTAACAGCACTTCGAAAATCTGTATTTTTATCCTAATACTTTAAGAGACATTCACAGTCCAAAGACTAGATTTAAGAAAAACATGATTTAAAATTTCCTAAAATACAATTCTTTGGTTATATCCATTCCAATTTTTTCTTTTAAAAAATCATTTTTTATATCTATTACAATAATGTTCTCTCTTTTCAGTCTACCTTCGCTTATCAATTCTGATACAAAGAGTATATGTTTAATCATAACGTTTTGTTCCTTTAATAACAGAAGCCTTGCACTTTCATAAATAATTTTTACAGAACATCTCTTAAGAAACAAAACTGATATTCTAGAACTATCATGGTGCCTCATCATCATTTTACATCAATAAACTTATCCTATAACTGAGTTGTCTTTAAGTTCAACATTCACATATATCAAGTATCTAAAAGCCTGCCTTTCATAGGTGGCTGTTATAGAGTGAATTGGAGAACATAAAAATCATTAGGAAAAAGATACCCTATAAAACAAAGGTCCCATTTGCATGCATGATAAATCTACATTTGAAACATTTATGCTTGGTCAACTGGAAGATGTGGTAGTGTATGGACTCCCCAAACAATGAATTTATACATCAAAACCAAGAAAGCATATAAAAAATAATTTTATTAATGTAAATGACATGAGGGATACAACAGCAAATGGGAAACTGGTCTTTAACTTCAAATAGCTTTGGCACAATCATGTGTTCTCTAGATTTTAAAAAATCTTTTCTTATACCTGAGCCACCAAATTCACATGGCCAAAATCACCATCTAAGAACAGCTAAAATAACATAATTTCATACACTATACTAATTTAACTAATGTTAAATTTCACCTCAGGATTTTCCTTTGAAAAAGTTAATAGTTTGGCATCACTAAACTTCCAAATAATATCATTCCAAAACCTTTAAAAACTGTACAAAATTTCCATTAGTTATACTTCTTACAATCTTACACTGGAGGTCTACTCTCCTTTAATTATCATGCTGACTCAATAATTCTTCATGTGTAGTATTTTCCACCATTTATAACTGTCACTATGAGTACACCTTAAACTGCCAACATAAACAGATAATCTCTTATACAAACGTAAAAGTGCATTCTCTTAATCAATTTTTCAGCTCCATTCTTCCATACATACAGACCTTACATTTACTTATTCATGCACCTATCTTCCTATTCTTCCACTTACCCTCCCTAGTACTGTCATTCTATAACTTTCTTTGACAAACTTTTGCATCCAGGTGGGGCCATTATCTGACAGCCTGTACCTATTAACAAAGACTGTATTTTAAAAAAAGGATGGATGTTTATCATTTTTCTCTGCTGTCTGTTTATCAAGTCCTTCACTCTAGTATAAAATCTAAATTATTTTAAATCCAATTCGTAACCTACTGTCTCTACATGCATTAAGAGACAATGTGTTTCATTTTGACTTCAGCCTATTGGAGGGAAATTCATTAAGAAATAAGAAGAAAAAATGTGGCTTCTTCCCTGATAAAAAAGGTGTACAAAACATGCCTATTTACCATTATAGTTTCCCACTTATTGGGACTAAGTCTTCTATCCTCTTCTGCCTCAGAGAAAGGCACACTAAACCCCAATAGAGTAGTGCACATCTCCTCCTATATGCCAACTGGATACATATCATCCCACTTTTCACAACATCCCTGACAAATCCACATCAACAGAAACCTACTTGCTAGCAATATATCACATACCTCCACAAAGTTTTACACCACTAGGTTTAATTTCAAATACTTTACAGAATCCTCAAGGCACACACTTTGAGGAAGAAAAAAAAAAACATATCAGATTGAGGCAATGTCTCCATACCCTTTTCCTGTGCTTCAACATTTAAACTTTAAGTCTGTAAAATGTGAAAAAAGTTAAATTTCTATCCTTGATTATTGTAACAATTACTCTCAAAGGCCCTAACAATGGTGGATAGGACCAGCCCATACATATATAGATAGATATATAGATTTTCTATGTGTATTACAGCTCCTATAAAATATGTTACAGATCAACTTTACCTAAATACAATTCTATCCTCTAAAGAAAAAAATATCAATACATCACACACATGTACATGGGTTAAAGCTCATATATAACATGGACTATAATATTCTCCTTGGCCCCTCAAGTAATGCCTTGCAGCAGAACTACAGCTGGTTGGTTATGGAATCGTACTACTCTTAATAGAACTAACTGCTCTTTTTCTTATCTATCATTACCATTCAACACTGTGTTGTGTAAGCTCATATTTTCAGATGTAACCTTTAAAAAAAATTATATCAAATTACAGTATAGCAAGAAATTATGTTAATGGTGAAACCGTTTTTTATACAATACGTTCCCTATTTTCTGTCTCCAAACCTTACAGTGTAGGGTATTTAGTCAAACCAGAACCATCAATCACAAAATGGACTCAATTCATTTTATTCTAATATCTGTTCCTTTCAAACTGAAATATCCATGAAAAAATAAACAACTAATTAAATCCATAAAATACTGACAATCTTTTCCTTATATATGAAAAAAGCCAACATTTTTAATCCTTCAGTTTACAACACATGCTCAACTATATTTTCCCAACTAAACACAAAGCAGTTACAAAGATTTCCAAATTAAGCACCAGTCATTTGGCTAATACAACTCTACTTTTGCTTTAAATCTTCACTATTGTGAGAAAAATTACAAACCACAAAAGTTGTGAGCAACAGTTTAGTAGCATTCTTTCCATTATTGCCTTTGGATATATATATATATAAAAAAATGGTCCTCGACCAACAGTAGCTACAGCTGGCCTATGACACAACGCAGGCTGCACTTCCCTCTTCCTCCAGAGTGGAAATGCCTTCATGAACCGAGTCCCTGAGCTCATTCTCAGATTCTGGGTTTGAAGTTTCCTCCGGAAGAGTTTCTCCAGCAGATATGGAATTTCGAGGGAGATAAGATACCTTGGGCATGCCTGGGTGAGGCAACGGCTGCTGTGCCTGCTGTTGTGGTACCTGCTGTGTCTGCTGACCCTGTGTTTGATTCTGCACCTGCATTGATTGTTGCTGTTGGCCTTGCTGCTGATGCGACGATGGGGGAGGTGAAGTTCGAACAGAAGACCTATGGGAACTCTCCTGGCTGGGAGGGGGCTCGGATTCATGACTCGTAGATGGAGGACGGGAAGAGTGGGGACTTGGAGTCCGTGATATTTCTCGGGTATTTGCAAGCCTTTCCAAGACCTTAACTTGCCCCATTATTGCTCCAAGGAAATTTTGATATCCCAAGCTAAGAAATGAAATGGGTAAAAGATATAATAAGAGTAATGATAATATTCATGATATTAATAAAAAATCATTATTGGTAAAAATAATGATAATGACTGCTGATGATAGTTAAAGTGATAATGATCATAATAACTAACAATAACAATTACAACAATAATTGTTAACTATAGTAATAATGATAATAACAATAACAATAATAATAAAATAATTATAATGCTAGTGATAATAATAATAATAACAACAATAACATGAACAATGACAATGATAATAACAATAATGATAATGATGACAATGACAGTGAAAATAATAAAGATAAAGATATAGATAATAAAAATAATAACAATAATAATTCGAAGAACAATAACAATAATTTAAAAAATTATAATAATGATGATAATGATAATGACAATAATAACAGCAATAATATTAACAATAACAATGACAATGATAATAACAATAATGATAATGATGACAACGATAATGATATAGAAAATAACAATAATAATAACAATAATAACAACAGCAACAACAATAATAATAATAATAACAGTAACACTAATAATAAAAATAGTAAAAATAATAATAAAAATAGTAAAAATAATAATAATAATAATAATCCTCATCATCATCATCATCATAACAACAACAACAACAATAATAATCACAAAACCAACAGCAATACTACTACTACTACTACTACTACTACTACTACTACTAATAATAATAATAATAATAATAATAATAATAATAAATATAATGATAATAATAATAACAACAATAATAACAATAATGATAATGATAATAATAACAATAATAATAATGATAATAATAATATTAATAACAATAACAATAATAATAAAAGTAATAACTACTATACTACTACTACTACTACTACTACTACTACTACTACTACTACTACTACTACTACTACTACTACTACTACTACTACTACTACTACTACTCATAATAATAATAATAATAATAATAATAATAATAATAATAATAATAATAATAATAATAATAATAATAATAATAATAATAATAATAATAATAATAATAATAATAATAATAATAATAATAATAATAATAATAATAATAATAATAATAATAATAATAATAATAATAATAGCAAATAACATTAATAATAACAATAACAATAACAACAACAATTATGATATTAATGATTGATGACAATTGATGATGATGATGATTGATGATGATGACTGATGATGAATGATGAATGATGATGATGATGTAATAATGATAATAAAATACACTGATCAAATATTACAACATAAATTATATTGAAGTAAAATTAAACATGAAAATATTTCTCTCATTACAACATACCATTCAGTATTTGTAAAGTGCAAAAGATCCTGCAAGCCTGTTGTTAGTCTGGTGATCACCTGTGCAGGTACATCTGGAGCGCGGGCAAGCGTCACGACTCTTAACACGGCTAAGGCATCACGCAGCACAACTGCCACCACAACACTCCACTCTAAACACCCTGCTTCTAACAGCACCTGAAAATATAATAAATATAGTGACAATTCCCTGAAAGAATTATTTGGTATCATCTTATTGTATCCAGCCACATCAGTGTAGCAGACTTTTTATATATTTATACTGCATATACTTCCATACTTCCTTGCTATTTATTTCAAAAATCATAATCTTCCTCCATAATATGTTTATAATTCTAAATAAAGTTTATAATTCTAACGAGTTTACAATTTCAGTTTACCAACCTGCAGTAAGTATCTAAGCTGAACTTCAGCATGAGGAGGGGGTCTTGGAGAGGACTGGGGAGGAGGGTCAGGAGGTCGAGAAAGCAGATCACGCATTGGGTCTCCTCCCTCTGGGCTCCAGTCCCCACACACACTCGACGTGTCATCCCCATACAAAGTCCCCTCTTCACTCATCACACTCACTGTATCACCTGTAAATAGACCATGGTATAGGGTATATACAAGGAGTCTTAAAACATATGAAAATTGAAATGGATCAAAAGGCAAAGGAAATCAAAATGGAAGAATAAAAGAAGAAAACTATGCATGACTACAACATTACATGAATTTTTGTTATATACTTGACTGAAGACATAACAAAAAATACAGTATTCCAAAACTGACATTTCTACTTTATAAGTTATCAGAACACCATAGAAGAAATCAAAATCTACTCCAAAATTGTCATTTCAATTCAGTAACACATAATGAATGGGCTCTGCAATCAGCCCAAGTATCTCAGATTATCCCTTTCCTGCTAAGTGGCACATACATAAATGCCATGGTTGTTGTGGACCAAGAAGTTGGTGGCATCGCATCACGGTCATTCCCACTCCATCAGCTCATCAGACAGAGCTGTTTTTTCTCAGATAGTAGCAGCATCACTTTTATGCTGAAACTTTTAGGCAATAGCACCTAAAGTGAAGGTAAACCTTCATATTTTTATAAAATGTTGCCTGCAAACTACACAAGCCAGGCAAAACAGTGGAAACTGTCGATGCATGCTAACAACCCTACGTTACAGGCCCACAAGTCAAATCATTAACCAAGGGTTAATGGCTTAACAACTGGTAACTGACCTGTTCTGGGCGAATGTGGGACCAGCAGAGCCTGGCGAGGCATGACTTCCTGGAGAGCATATGGAGATTTGGGTGAATGCGGTGTGTGCTGAGGGGTCACAGCTGTGTGTGTGTCCCCTGTAGCTTGGCTCATATACCCACTGTCTCCTACTTCTCCTGTGCCCAGTGAAGACACCTGAAAAAAAGAAAATACATAACAGTGATACTCAAGGGTTATAAAAAGAATGGCAAGTGCAGATGAGTGAATGGAAAGACATTAGAATAATATATAAAACTGAAGGAAGAGGGTAGTTATAAAACAGTCAACAGTCAATGCATACTCATAACAGAGCCAATAAAAACAACTAAGCACACCCATTTTCTCACACTCACCTTTGGCACTGATATTGAGAGTCCTTGCATCTTCTCCTCCACCAAAACAGATCTCTCATCAGGACTCCCTCCAGATCGCACAGATGAGACTGCAGAGATGCAACACAATAGCAGATAAAATTATAGGATACATAATGCTCTAGAAAATCTAACTTCCTGCCAATTTTTACATTTCAATTTTTGTGTCTAGTACAACCTTTTCACATTTCATTTGACATACCTGAGTAACGCCGGATATGGGAAGTTGGGACGGAAGGGTATGGCCAAGAGAATTCTCTGTGGATCTGCTTCAATGATGCAACAAAGTCATCCACCCGGGCTGCCCGACTTCTCTCTCTCCTGAGCCATGACACTAATGGAAAGTCTAAGTGTGCTGCCATTGTCCCCAAATCTCGTAGACGGCAGCTCAGTAAGAGTTTCTATAAAAAAAAATGTTAATCAGTAAACTGAAACTGAGTAACACTGATTTTTAAAATGAATATGCATTAATCTGAGAAACAGACAAACAACCTGTGATGATGACTACAATGATGCAGAGAAGAACTTCAAAGACAAATATCTTTTAACAGTGATGGCTAGTACTGCTTTATTGTAACTGAATAACAGTGGAGTTACTTCACAAAAACTTGTTTGAATATAAAGCATGAAAAATGTAATACTCTATATATGTAAGATGTGTGGACTGCAAAGCTATGGACCTTTCCAATAAAATTATTTCAAAGTGATTCTATATTTCAATTATGAAAGAAAGTATTGAGATTATAATGTTCCTTTTGCTATCTTTAATCTATTTCTTCTTCTTACTAATATCAACATATATCTATAAAGTGTTCCTTACTTTCTATGTATATTCAATATGCCTTAGAAATACTTCAGTGCATAGAAATATAAATTGGCCAGCTGTATGCAGTGAATTTTTTGTCAAAACTACTTGTCAGACTAAATTCAGTTGAATGTTTGAATTGTTGAATGATACTGAAGAATAGATTTTGAGAAGATAAAAATGGGAATGGTCATTACCTTTGAAAAAGACCAAAAAATATATATATTTATTATACGCTGACATCATAAGGAGTTCAAAGCATGTGGACAAAATGGTGGCTGATGAATGAAAATCTATTATTGCAGAACCCATCTACACGGGATACAAATAAAAAATAGTGTATGCATTACATATTTCATTCCACTTCCTTCTCACCTTTGCATGCCTTTGCAGAATCACATCCAAAAAGTATTCTTCTGCTGTTGACACATCCTTGCTCAATGAATTTGTCGATCGCTTACGCTGTGTTGGCACAGTCTGACACTGACGACTGATCTCTGGCAGGACTTTTGCCGAGTCTGATGTTGTTCTCACCACTGACTGATGAGAGGCTGCTGCCCCATCCCCAACTGCCACCTTTGGGGCTGACGTTGAGGAGAAGGACCTCCCACGGAGCACCTGTGTTAATCATAATATTGTTATATTTGGAGACCCCAGGACAGCTAGAGCAGAAAGTGAAGATGTGGTGGAACTTAAGCTGCAGAAATACCTTCTTACAAATCAAAATATAAAAAACACAAATTCATTACATGTGCAATATTCTTCAGTCTGTGCTCTCAAGATTCTGCTGCTAACCTCCAGGGAAATAACTGCAAAGATGAATATTTGAAAAAAAAAAAAAAAAAAAAAAAAAAAAAAAAAATCTATCTACTTCTGAAACTTTGTTCTTTTTACAAACATAGCAATAGAAATAACATAACCTCTTACCATAAAGTCAATTACAAATAGCTTGGCCTCTATAGAGCATGTAATCATAAAACCTGCAACAAGCATCAAGTATGTAGCCAAGCACAGAATTTTATTCTACAACTGAAAATCTTATTCCTAATCAAAATATAAACATATTATCTTGTGCTTTATCACTCAACTCAACTATAATTAACATGTTTTACAAATATAAGGTGTGGTAAATTTGCAAATCTTACCTGACAATCACCTCAATATAGTTCTATTCACAACATTTGTGTCTACTTAATTATTCTTAATAAAGTAGTTACCTTTTTACATTGTATTTTTTTTTAATATTTGTCAACCAGGATTTTGCAACAACCAAATTTAATTACTGATTTCCTTTCATATTTATCAACTTAATATAATGAGTAATTAGCATTCTCACAAAAAAACAGGTCTAACATTTTTACCACACATGATTAAAACCCAGTTCATTTTACAACAATTCATTTTCCAATACCACACACATAAGGTCAATGCACAAACTCACACATACACATGCACACACAGCAAAATCACATGTATGCCCCTGTATATACATGCCCTTCCATTACAAAGTGCATATGAGGATAAGGCATCTTTTGTTGACAGATTAAAGAGCTTCACATGAAAATACTCATCTAGAGGGGGAGCAAATGTATGTATCATCTATATATGTTTATCACAAAAGACACATGGCATAACAATCTAGGCTAACTGCAAATTAAGTTTGAAAATGATGAAATGGACTGGGTTCGCAAGCAATATAAAAAAAAAAAGTTGAAAAGCTGTATATACACATTTTGGCAAGTGCACTGTATATGCATTTTTTTTCTGATGAGCAAATCTTTTCATTTTCTGTAGACTGAGTTTAACACTGATTTCCAGGTTTTACCAAATAACCCATTGGATCCGGGTGCCTCACTACCAACACGCTGCCCAAAATTTGGCATTACCTGAGTGGCCACTCCGGGGTGTGTGGCTTGTAGGCCCATTCCACACAAATACTTGTATGCATTGGCAAGACTCCATACCTGCTCTTTGCAAAATCAATCTCTTTTGCTACAAAATTATGTTTTACTTTTTGGCTATTTTCTAATGTCTATATTTGTCATTTGATATGCTGTATCAAGATGGCAATAGACTTTTCCTTGCATAGACTCCATATCCACCTCTCTATGTAGTCTATAATTCTGTGTAATAATAATAACAATAAGTAATATTTTCTTATTTGTGTACTTTTAAAATATTTTTGTACTTTTAAAATATTTTTGTACTTTAAATATTTTTGTAATATTCAATTTGTACTTTTTGGCTATTTAACAACCTGCAGGTGGTGCTCTTCCAGTCTTGACTCATGGATGGTATGAGTACATTCCACTCTTTTACTGATGGAAATAATGCAAGATCTTTCTAAATGCCTTATGAGTGTAACTACCCTCCAAGAGCTTTGTACACTCTTGTATCGTTCCCATTACCCAGGTCTTCAGTCCAAATTCTCATGACAGCATGTTCCAATCACCCCAGCCTTCAGCCAAATTTTTCTACGACAGCATATTCACATTATATGGTTAAGCAGTAAGTAATCTTCAATCAATCTGATGTACAGATATACTACTTGTTGGTACCATTCCTCAAACTACCTTCCCATTGTCAAGGCCTTATTACAATATACTGAAAGACTTTACTATATACCAAACCTTTTGCTATCACACCCAAATAGTTACACAACTGCATATAACAAAAATCTGCAAGAGACCTTAAAAATTAATGAGAATACTTCCAAATGGCTCTTGACCAGATGATCTACATGCAAATTTTGTCAATACTTTCCCCACCAAGAAGTATCCTTAGCAATACTGCAAGTAACAAAAAGAAAATGTGAAAAAAACTAAGTAAATGGTGCATTAATAAAAAAACAAATAAATAAATAAATAAAAATGCTGAATTTATCACGAACCTCAACAACAGAATAAAAGCTGACCTTGCTGAGAACATAAAAAGACTTAATAAATGCTGACTTTATTGTGAACATGAAAGACAAGAAGATAGAAAGGCAAGAATGGGTTAACATGTATGCCAAAGGCTACCAGAGAGCCTACACGTTGCTACTGAGAACTTTCATCATTAAGCTCACCTAAAAGGGCATCGTAGCAATCGTTCACATTCATGAGAAGTAATCTATTGCCAATAACATTAATTCGTGAATATATCCTGTAATGCTTGTTCGATGTTGACAGTAGGAATGTAAACCAATCCCTAGCAATGGCAAATAACCAAATGCACAACCTGTTTAATGTAAAAACAACCAATCTACTGTACTTTGTGCATGGTAGCAACCCTGTGTGTATGTTAGCAGAGGAGTGTTAACTTTTGAAGTGTGCCTGACAGCAGCATTTCAAGATTATGGAACACATGATAGCATAGGGCTAAATGTAAGTCAAATCATAAGAAACCATTACATATTCTCACAGCTCACTACTATACCTATTCTACATAAATCAAAATACAATACTATCTTTTAATTATGTATAATCTTCCTTTTTTTAATCATCCTTTCAGACATAAACCTCTGACAAAAAATAAAATGAAAATATTAAATACAACTGATATCAATTTATGATTAATGAAGAAAAATGCTTAAATTGCTGTAATGACTATATTCCCTTGTAAAATTTATCATTTGATGGTCACAAGTCAAATTAATAAATATTATTTCTAGTTGGTAATCAGGCATGTATTCTGATTCTGTCATGAAGAACAAGTGCAGTGCAATACATGTAAATTAATCATTTCTAATACAAAAGTTCCAGGCACTGAAACTAACCAAACAGAATGATGTAGCAAAGTGGAAGCAACAGAAGACAAAGTTACAACACATTCAGATGTGACTGAGATCATAACAAACAAGGAGAACAAACAGACAAAACCATTCAGAAATATGCTATGTGACAGGCAGTGTAAGAGAGGTATCTTTGTGTGGAGAAGACATATCAAGATAATCTTTGCAATACACAGCAATGTCAATCAAGAACTTACCACAACTCCCTATAAAACCCAAACATGCATAAACTTGTCAAATGGCAACACACAGCCACTAAAAAGTCACCAAATGACAAAATGAAATAATAATACCTGTGGAGCGGTGATCAGAACAGAGGAATGTCTTCGCAACATCTGTATCTGATACACAAATGTACAGGTCAAATTAGTCACTCAAAAAGGAAAAGTTTTAATATGACTCAGATAAGTAAAAAACAAAATAAATGGCTATCAATAATAATAATAATGAAAATCCTAACTGAGTTTACTATGAACTATACTAAAGTAATAAAAAAAAACATCATAAATGCTAGGCACCAAGACAAGCAAGTAGAAAAAATAAAAATGAAAATAAAAAGAGTGAAGGTTAATTGACATCTAAACTCTTAGCTACAATACACCCTAATACTGTTCCCTTAAAGATATGTATTTGTACTGTATGTGATAAACCCCAGTATTTAGAGAACCTGTTCCTTATTGCAAGGTCGGACAGAAATGATTTACATGCTTTTCCTAACGCTAACAAGGACGGAAGATTCACAACACAGGACAATTATGTTTATGCAGTTTTAACACATATGAGCAAAAGTCTTTGTAACTATATTCACGTATGCATGTCACATGCAGATGTAGGGTGTACTATATTTAGACACTGTATATATTTGAAAAATAAATAAATGCATGTAAATAAAAGAGTAAACAGGTATGAATGAATGAATGAATGTATGTATGTATGTATGTATGTATGTATGTATGTATGTATGTATGTATGTATGTATGTATGTATGTATGTATGTATGTATGTATGTATGTATGTATGTATGTATATGTATGTATGTATGTATGTATGTGTATGTATGCATGTATGTATGTATGTATGTGTATGTATGTATGTATGTATGTATGTATGTATGTATGTATGTATGTAAGGCTCTTCTCAGGTGACAGCGGTTCCCTTGGTAAGTGGCCAGATCGCCTCAGATCCTATTGCGATGCGGGAACGTTGGGCTGAGTATTTTGAGCAGCCGTACCAGGTTGACCCACCAACAGTTAACTTGGATGCGGGTAGTGCCGTGATTCCGTTGCCAGACCCACCCATCAGTGAGGATCCACCCTCCCTGACTGAAGTTAGGGGGGCGATATCCAAGCTGAAGAGTGGCAAAGCAGCAGATATTTGCAGCATCCCACCTGAACCGTTAAAAGTTGGTAGGGAACCAATGGTGCGTGGGTTGCACGCTGTCCTGGCTGCCATCTGGCGGTCCGGTACCATTCCTCGACCTGTTGAGGGGTGTGGTCAACCCTCTCTGGAAGGGGAAGGGGGACCGATGGGACTGTAGCAATCACCGATGCATTACACTGCTCAGTATACCAGGCAAGGTTCTTGCCACATCCTTCTGAGACGTATCAGAGACCATCTACTGAGGCACCAGAGGCAGGAGCAATCTGGATTCACTCCTGGTAAGTCCACAATTGACCGTATCATTGCAATTCAAGTCATTGTAGAGCGCCGTCGTGAGTTCGGGCGTGGGCTGCTTGCAGCCTACATCGACCTCAAGAAGGCGTTCGATACAGTGCATCGGGAATCACTCTGGGAGATCCTGAGACTGAGAGGAATTCCAACAAGGATTACTGGACTGATAGCAAGTCTGTATACTGGTACTGAAAGTGCTGTAAAGTGTGGTGGGGGCCTGTCAAGCTTCTTTCCTGTTGGGTCAGGAGTGAGGCAAGGCTGTGTTCTTGCACCAACACTTTTCAACACCTGCATGGACTGGATACTAGGCAGAGTTACTGTTCAAAGTCATTGTGGAGCAACTCTGGGCAATATCAAGGTTACCGACCTTGACTTTGCTGATGATGTTGCTATTCTGAGTCCTTGGAATCCTTAGTGGTGGCTCTCGATACATTTAGAAATGAAGTGAAGCCCTTGGGGTTAGAGGTCTCCTAGACCAAGACTAAGATCCAGGACTTTGGGGAGTTGTTAGGAGAACCTGTTCAGTCGGTACGTTCTTGCGCCGAAGACATTGAAGTCACAGAGAGCTTTACATACCTTGGTAGTGTAGTTCATAACTCTGGGCTGTCAGACCAGGAAGTCCGCAGATGGATTGGCCTGGCAGCAGGGGTCATGAACTCTTTCGATAAGAGTATTTGGAGATGCCGGTACCTGTGCAGAAGGACCAAGCTACATGTCTTCAAGGCCCTGATAATGCCAGTTTTGCTATTGGTAGTGAAACCTGGACATTATCCTGTGCCTTGGAGTCACGTCTTGAAGCCTTCTGTAATAGGTCCTTACGCCGGATCATGGGGTACAGTTGGTTGGTGTCCAACCAACGGTTGCACCATGAGACTGGCGCAGGACCTGTTACCTGCACAATCCAGGATCACCAACTCAGGATATACGGCCACCTGGCTCACTTCCCCCAGGATGATCCTGCCCACTAGGTTGTCTCTGTACGAGACAACCCTAGGTGGAGGAGGCCTGTGGGACGACCTAGGAGGTCGTGGCTCAGGCAGATCGATCAAACCTGTCGTGAAGAGCTTGAGATGGGCCGAGTCCCTGCCTGGCAGCTTGCCATGAGCAGCGCCAAACGGTGGAAGCAAAGGGTGGATGCAGCTATGCGCCCCCGTCGGCGTTAGCCCCCAGATGATGATGATGATGAATATGAATGTGCGTGTGTGTGTGTGTGTGTGTGTGTGTGTGTGTGTGTGTGTGTGTGTGTGTGTGTGTGTGTGTGTGTGTGTGTGTGTGTGTGTGTGTGTGTGTGTGTGTGTGTGCGCGCGTATGTGTGTGTGCGTGCGCGTGTGTGTGCGTGCTGTGCGTGTGTTGTGTGCGTGCATGTGCATGTGCGTGTGCGTGTGCATGTGCGTGTGTATGTGTGTGTGTGTGGGGGGGGGGGGGGGGAGCTGTGGGTTGGCTGGCAGGCATGTAGGTAGGCAGGTAGGTAGACAGGTAGGTAGACAGGTAGGTAGACAGGTAGGTAGGTAGCAGGTAGGTCAGATAAATAGGTAGGAAGGTATAAATAGGTAGGTAGATAAGTAAAAGGTATAGGTAGGTAGATAAGTAAATAGGTAGGTAGATAAATAGGTAGGTAGATAAATAGGTAGGAAGATAAATAGGTAGATAAATAGGTAGGTAGATAAATAGGTAGGTATAAATAGGTAGGTAGATAAATAGTAGGTAGATAGATAGATAGATAGATAGATAGATAGATAGATAGATAGATAGATAGATAGATAGATAGATAGATAGATAGATAGATAGATAGATAGATAGATAGATAGATAGATAGATAGACAGATATATAGGTAGGTAGGTAGATAGGTAAATAAATAAATAAATAAAAAAAAAAAATAAATAAATAAATAAATAAATAAATAAATAATAAATAATAATAAGGTAAATAAGTAAGTAAATAAATAAGTAAATAAATAAGTAAATAAATAAGTAAATAAATAAGTAAGTAAATAAGTCAGTAGGTAAATGGATACAGAAATAGTTAGATAAATAGATACATAGACAAAGAGATAGATAAATAGATAGATAGATAGATAGACACACAGATATAGATAGATATAGATAGATAGATAGATAGATAGATAGATAGATAGATAGATAGATTGATAGATAGGTAGGCAGGCAGGTATATTAACATGTAGATTGGGAGGTAGGAAAAGAAGATAGGAAAACAGACAGCTAGGTAAATATTTAGTTAAACAGATAGGTTGGGAGGCAGGAAGGGGTGTATATAAGTAGGTAAGTAGATATGTTGTACAAAAAATGAACATGTATTGATGTGTATGTGTTCTTAATTATGTATTGATGTGTATGTGTTCTTAATTGTCAGTCTATCATGGATTTTGTCTCTATCTATTAACTTTGTTTGTTTCTTATTTTAAAATGTATAGGTCAAACAGGTTAACATCTCAATACCTACATAACAACTTGCCAAATGAACCAACAACAGACAAACCAATAATGGTCTAAGGATGCAATGGTCTGCATCTCTATACTTCTCTACACAATGAACTCATGCTACACACTGATACATTGGGGCCAACCATGGACGTTGGAATTCCTGTCATTCCCATTTGGTTAAGAGAGTTACAGAGGATGAGTCACTGTTAGTACCTGAGTGTTGGGGAGAATCATCGAAAGGTCTTCATCTGCACATGCAGGGGACACGGGGGGTGTGGCATGGCTGAACCCAACCTTGGTACTCCCACAAGATGGAACCGATGGCTTCGGTGAGTCCAGGTCCGTCGGGTCTGCTCACGTTAGGAGGAAGAGGGGAGAAAGAATATTATTGTACAGAACATACCCCTTCACTTACTCTGTTAACTCACAAGCCTCAGGAAAAATAGGCATTCAGCAAAGCTAAATGGTTACAATTTCTCTACTACATCAAAAAGAAATCCATTTTGTATTAATGGGAAACTTTATATTAGTTCTAAAAGAAATCATTAATAAACATAAAAATAGCTGAAAACTATCACCCATGAAATATAAAATGACTGGTACATTTCAAAATCTTATTGTTTTCTAACTCATTAAAAGCAAAGTAAAATTCTGAGGTAAAATCAAAACTATGTCAGGCAAGCACATACTCAGCCATATAATGCAGAGATACTGTTGATACAATAACAAATTCACATACTTTACTTTACATACCTATTGAACGAAGGAATCGAATGAGATCTTTTGAAAGATCCCATTTGCCAGCTTCTAATGTAGCATCTAAAAGGCGTGTGGCATGGCTTCGACTCACAGAGGCACTCTCCAGATTCTGTAGTGTAAATACAATTTATACAATATCAACCCAATGCACCCAGGAATATGTTGTGTTCACTGTAGTATTGTTTTGATTAGCCACAAAGGAGTCAATTAGTAGACCTTGTGACCTCAACTGATTTCACCGTTACTTGAGTTTGCAGGAAAAAAGCTTTTTTTTATATACTAATGCTATCAATTTTGATACTGTTATTTTCATCATAAACATCATAATTACTATAGTGTTACTGACATTATTAACAGCAATATTACACACAAGAAAATATTTTTGTAATTCTCTCTCTTGTGGAGCCATCAATGTATAAAAACTAAATTAAACATAGTGGGCAAGGCATGTACACACATGCCACCTCCGGCAGCATATGGTTAACTTCCCTTTACAGATATGTGTCCATGAATCCCTTTATGATGTCTCTTGTATGAGTCTTCATAAAATAATCATTACACTGACTAACATACCTGAAGGATGATAAGGTATGATGCAGCAGTATCCAGCTGGGCCTCCTCCAAAGCCTTGACGAAGAGGAGCTTAGGACTGCCTGCTGCAGAGAAGAGGTAGCGCCATAAGGCCAGCTCAGTCTTTCTCGCACATTGTACTACTGTCTGCAGGTACACTGGGAACTCTCTAATGAACTCCACTACACGGGGTAGCAGGCAATCTGGAAGTGGGTCTTTACTCGAAGCTTCTTCTTCCAGAACCTGTAACAAGGCTTTATTTCATAAAACAAAAACTGATATGCATTTCCAATACCAACACTTGTTCACTACTACTACTTTCTTTCAAAAGAATATATAGAGACACATTAACAACAAGGACAAATAAAAAGGGTTTTCTTGCCTGATGCAGGAGAAGCTCTAGTGCATGTGGGAAGTATGGCAAGTCCCGACATGTGCTGGCTACCTCCCAAGCATGGTACCCAAGGTTTCGTCTCAGCAGTTGTCTCAACAAGTGATGCAGGTAAACTTGACTCTGAAGGATAAGAGTAAATTAGGCCACATAATATACCACAACTATTCATACAGCAATAATAAAAATCCTCTCAAATGAAAACAAATATGTATATATGTAAAAACCAAACTCACAGTCCGCTCTACAACAGTAAGTGGCTGGTGCAGAGAAGCAGCGTCACATGCCAGCAGGGACGTGTCAGTCTCTGCCCCTAGCAAGATACCTTCCTCAAACAACACAGCTGAAAATATATGGTATTCCTAAATGCTGTGTATATCCAAAGCACTGTACTCTGTGTGCTGTTTTTTATGCAAAATAAGATTATTACAGTTACTATTATCCATCTATATAAAATAATATTCCATTTTTCATATCAGCTACCTTTAGTATATTTAGTGTAAATCCACAATTAAAAGTATGCAATACCATATCTACAAAAACATTGCCTAAAACAAGTTTCCTTATTCCATCAGTTTATTAAGTTCTTCCATTTCACTTGCAATAATAATTCAAACCTGCCATCTTACTGCTTTTATAAAGTACAATTTACATAAAGTCTACAAAATGGAAAAAAAACGCAATTGAAAATATGAATATGAAAGAATGCACAAAGAACTCCTCTCACCTAGAGGATATATGGACGGAGTAAAGGGCAGCATTATCCTGCGAGCCAAGAAAATGTGAGACTTATCAGCAGAGTTGGGGAAGAGTGGTAACCAGGCTCGTGTGCCATGAACACCACAATGTAGCCACAATGCATGACTAAGATGTGGCTTATGACTTACAGCACAGCTACTGCACCACAAAGCTTCACAGCTTGAGGCTAGGACAATTGGCGTCATTTGTGCACAATGGAACTGGAAGACAAAAGATTCAATAGTGCAAATACAGTCATTTTCATACTTTACAAAAGATAATATACTACACATTTCAAAGATTGAATGATAATGTGATGAAATAACATTAAAACATTTTTTAAATTTTCGACAACTTTAAAGATAATTCTACCCTAACTTACCAATTTGCCATTGCTGCCTGCACCATCTGCCTGCTGATCTCGTTGTATCATAAGTACTTTGCCAGATATGTTAATAATGACACTCTGTGCTGGCAGTGGGTTGTGTTGGTTGTTGCTGACTCTCCAAGACTCTGTGCGGAGGCTGGTCAGTAATATGGATACAACACACGCTGGGTGCACTGTCAGTCCAGAAATGTCTACCTCCTGAACCCGAGACACATTTACATTACCACCACCTGGAGAGTACAGAGAAACAAAATTAGAAACTGCTCAAATGTTAATAATATATAATCAACAACTAAATAAGTCTGGAAGAGACTCAGTGCTGAAAGGGTAATGGGGACATAAATCTAGCTATAAAACACAAATATATAATCAACCAAAGAGAATGTAACAGAATAACAAAAATAAAATAACATACAAATCACAAATAATTATATCTATTAACACCTGATATATTTCACCTTCTTTTCACAATTTACATAGGACTTACATATTTGCAAGTCAACAAACAAATATACTCTCATTTTTATTAAATTCAAACTGTATGCTGAATAAGTTATTCAAACTGTATGCTGTATAAGTTATTCAAACTGTATGCTGTTTAAGTTTATAACAACTTTTACAAGGACAAATGCTCATCAAAGACATTAGAGACTTAAAAAAGAAAAAGAGCATATGGAGAGTACAAGAAAGCATGCAAGGGTTTCATTTTAACCAAAAATTAAAAACTGAATCAATAACCATCTTTAATGTCAAAATCTTAAATATGTACTTTTTATTAACCTTGCATGTGAACACAGGTTCAGAAAGAAGAAAAAAGAAAAAGAAAACAGACTTTCTTATGCTCAAAAGGCCTTCTCATCTACACAATCTGCTGTCCCTGAACATCGTAAAGCTGAAATAGGTTAAAATAAAGCCCTGTGTGCAGTGGATAATCATTAGTGCCAAAAAGTCAAACCTCTCTTCACTCTTCAGTGATACAAAAACTAAAGGCACAGAAAACAACTCTTGAGTTGTAAATCACTTTGATTTAGAAGCAACATAAGCTTTCAAATTTAATAAGGTCACAACATAAAATTACATGTGCATGAGACACTTTCTAAGTAGTAAATATCCAACCCATACCATTACCACAATGCTTACATACTGCAATCTATATTATAAGTCGTATTCCCAGGGGATGGCTCTTAAAGTATTTCTTGGATCATATTCAAGTCATCATTTAGTCTATTCTACATACTTTTAGTATGTATAATTAGCAATTCTCTGATTCCGTGTTTCTTGACCTTTCGATCACAACCAAAAAAGGGATCATCAATGCCTTTTCACTGGGTTACCAGTTCCTCAAATTTTCAGGGATTAGAGGAGCATTATTGGTTATTTATTAGGGTGTCATGGAACCAGCATACACATTCACTGATACAGGAGGATTTTTTCACAAAAATAAATGAAAAAAAGGCTAAATCACTATAGTACAATGACATCTTTCTCGCCAATACCCTCATTCTCCTTATAAGTCCTCCAATATCCATTTATAAAGGTTTGTTTGCCACCTCGTTTCTGCTGTGAAAGGAATATCATGAGTGAAATGATAATTCTAGTAAAGTATGGCATATTTCATCCAGCCACACCCACTATCCTTTACTCTCTTCCATTCCTTCCCACACATTATAAAATTACCTTTTATACCATTATATCATGGCACCACTGTCATTTTTTTATTTACACATAAATATATGACTATTTTACTTCAGTAATTGCTAATCAGTTTTAACTGCTTTATATTTACTTTATTTTTATACTCTAGGCAATAACTCCCTAGCTTCTGTTTGAAAGTTTCTAACATTACTGCAACTATTTATTCAACCATGTACAAATTAATCATTTTCTTATTCTATCTTGTCTTAAGATAATTACATTGGAAACTGCTCAGAAAAAAGATACCATGAGCTGAGAAAAACTAATATAACAGCAATACAGAACCCAAACATAACAGGTAAGACCAGAATCACTCATCAAACTCCAAGACTTTGGTGAAGTCTAGCAGTCATGACCTCCACTTTTTGCACTCTGGCACAGACAAACCTCCATCATGTATATTCTGAAAGGAGAGAGCCTTCACACCTTCCTCATCTTTACTGAAGTATAAACTACTGAGGCCACAGTAAGAATTAATGCAGTCATTTACTGGCCAATTATCAACAAATATCAAGTAGCAAAAAAATTAATTCCCATTAATCATTACATAATCTTAATCATTTTCACCACACTGTTTCTGTTCAAAAACATTCATACATTTCATAACTGGCAGCTTAATTCACTATACATAAACCATCAAATAATCAAATAAAATTTGACACACACTGGTCATACTGCCATTCAGTAACATTTATTGTTTTTTATAACATCTGTTGATGTTTCCCACCACCAAAGCACCTTGACAATGATACATACATCTTGTAACCCCATCACCATAAGCTGAAATAACACAAACACCAAGCATATTTGTGAGTACATGTGCATACACTTTGATGAAAAACAAATGGTCTGTTTTGAAACTATAAAAATATATATAAAATAGTAAACATTTACGAGACATTCCATCACACACAAACACACTACACTGACCCCTCGGAAACAGTAGGCTCTCCGAATTTCCCTTCTGCTTGCTTTTCTTCCTGCTTACCCTGCTCCCTCTGGATTTTCGCTTACTTACCCTATATTGGCCTTCCATAATAAGAAAAATGGATTGTTACAGCTAAAACATCACATAACACACACAATATAATAGTTGCCATATACCAAAGACAAAAAGTTTGTCAATATGCAATTGCTCCTTATAAAGAAATATCTCAAAACTTTCATTTTGTATCTACTATGTGTTCCCAAGGTAAGCTGTACAAAGACGATAAAAACCTGTTGTCAAGGACCTCTAGGTGACAAAGAAGTGCATCAATACTCTTCTGCAACTGTACATACCAATAAAAATAATTTTAAAAATACATTAATCATTTCCTGGCCAACCAAGAAATAGTGCCAGAGAAGCCTACCTGAGTTTGTTTCCGAAGGCTGAAGGTTATACACTGTGATATGGCAATCAGCAGTTAACACAATCAGCTGATCCCCATATATATTTAACAAAAGCACCTGTAACAAAATATAATTCTGTAAGAAACTATGTAATATTTTACAACTCAAGCCATATGTGTACATTTTATTACTAAATATTTCATATATATATTTATATATACATTAATTAATCAAATGAATAAATAAATAAAATACGTATATAAATAAATAAACACATAAATATATACATATATACATACATATACATGCATACATATATACATATGTAAAATGCTAATCATGTTTGTAAACAACTGTTACATATGTAGAGTGATGAGCAAAAAAAGTAAAACAAGAAAAAAGATAAAGAATGATTTTGAAACTGAGAGGCTGTAAAAATAATCAAAATCAAAATTTGAAAGTTTAAAACAGAGATTTGTTTTTGAAATTTCACTTACCAGCAATGTTTGTGTGATAACAAAATCTCATATATGATAGTGTGATATCAAAATTCCTATAAGGTGTTCATATTATATACCAGAATGACTTCTTCCTTAGCATTATCAATAAGAAAACTATTACATTCAAGTATTCATATGCTATGCATACTGATCACAATCTACTAAAAATCAGCATTTCTTTTAAGACATACCTGAGCAGGTTGTGGCACCGTAGTGACATAAAGGTTATCCAGCTTATGGTCCCGTGGATAAAGCCTAAGTTCATCCATGTTGGCTGGTATGTTGTAGGCTCCAAGTACTAGCCATGTTGACCGCCACCAAAGCAGGCCACCAGTTACCACAAAATCTCGTTCTTGGCTCTCATTGCCAAAGAGATGCCATCGTCGCAGCCGCAAGGAATAATGGGCCACTCCATTCCGCCCAGCAACACCAACAAGTTCTCCACCCTCATCCACACAGGTGTACTGCACAGAATAAGAATGTTCCCTTTATTTCCTTACAAGTAAAGTTTTAAGCTCCAATTCTTAACATCATCACAACTAAGTCTCCCTTTTCTTAACAGAACTTCTTCCCATGGAAGTGTGTAATTCACATGATATCATAAATTAGGACAAACATGTTAACAAATGATGATATATAACACCTGTGAAAAAAGCTCAACTATAGTAGAAACTTACTCTGATTGGCCAGTTTGAAGCTGTGTAACTGTAAGGTATTGGGATGACAATCCACTGTTTCTTTGCTGCCACACAAAATTGTGAGTCTTTAGCTTGTAAGGGATCCTCAAATGCACCTTCCTCATCATCATCAAAGTAAAGAGACAAGGAATCCTGGGTAGGGTCCGGCATCCCAGCCAGTCCCTCACAAGTGTTGAGGTAGAGTCGGTCATTCCCCTGTAGTAGAACTCGCCCCAATCGACTCTGTTAAAAAACAAAAACACACTGCTTGTATTAACCCATTGTGATACTGGAAGTGCATGTATACATGTACATTGTGTAAAAAGTGCATGCACTTTGTTTACACATAGTTGGCTCCAGAAGTGCTCAGTCACTATGGAGTCAATTACTATGCCTTCATAACCTCCTGTATTTACCTCATTCCCAAAATTTTCAGAGAAAAGACTTTTATTTCTATCATTATCATTATCTTTAACTACATTACAATAATTGTAATGAAAGATGGAATATGCAGTGCTGCATTGATATGAATATATACCAGGAATCGAACCTGAGCCACTCCAGGTAATCTAACAATTGTAATAATCAATAATCGATAATCAATTATAATAAGAAGAAAAATGAATTAAAAAGAAAAATAACAATAAAAATAATAAAAAAGTAATAATAAAATTATACTAATAAAACAATAACAACAGAATAGTATTTTAAAAACAGTAATATAATAATCTAAAAAAAATAAGAAAAAAATAATAAAACAATAGCAATAAGCACTAATGCTAATATTACTTCTTCTACTTCTACTTCTACTTCTACTTCTACTTCTACTTCTACTTCTACTACTTCTACTTCTACTTCTACTTCTACTTCTACTTCTACTTCTACTTCTACTTCTACTACTACTACTACTCTACTACTTCTACTACTTCTACTTCTACTACTACTACTACTACTTATATTATTATTATTATTATTATTATTATTATTATTATTATTATTATTATTATTATTATTATTATTATTATTATTATTATTATTATAAATACAACTATAATTCTCATTCTAAAAATAATTATAATCATAACAAAAATTATAATGATAATCATCATCATCATACAATCATAATAAAAAACTTTTTCTAAAAAAAATCAAGGAATAGCCTAAGGTAAACAGGTAATATTAGGTGCTTATGAACCCACTTAAGGGTTAATAAAACTAAACCACAGTGTACAGTACAAGTACCTGGCAATAAATGGTTAACAGACTGTACCACATATTTATAATTGAAGTTTCTATGGTAGAAATATGTTATTCAATATTTTTTTTATTACTCTCTATCACTTTATGAAATAAGTGTTATTGTAATATAAGTGCATCTTCATTTTCAGATTTGGTATCAAGAGGACTAAGGATCATTTAAGCTTCTAAAACTTCTGAATGTCGTTATCTGAAATTGCAATTCTGCCACAAAACAATAACTAGAAATTTTAGCTTGCCAGTAAATCTATCCTAATCCTCATCAGTTTCTTGCTGTTGCAAAATAATAATTATTTTCCTTGACATAAGTATTACTGCATACTCTTTATATCTTTATCTTCAGTAAAATCTTATCTCAAGAATGATGTGCATAGCATAGCCTTACATCAATATTAAAAAACAATATATTGTTAGCTAGTAGCAGTCTAACAAAACAATACTGGAATTTCCAATCCATCACTCACCATACAGGGATTAACCGTAAGAGCACTCTTGATAAAGGAAAACTGTAGCACACATGTTTTCTCCTGAACACCTGTTGAGTGTGAAGACTCTGTTGCTTCTGCCCCAACCTCAATATCCTCTGTCTCTACAGCACCTTGAGGCATTTCCCTGCATTCCTTGGTCTCTTCCAGGTTATCTTCCATTTTGGGCATTTCTCTGGAACTTTTTTCAGTGTACAACTGTTGGTCTTGTGTTTCCTGTTTGCTAAGTTCTTCTTCTAGTTTTTGAATGCACCATACTTCATATCCCTCTGCACCCCATTCCTAAAAGATAAAATATTCATAATCAGCACATTCATTCCCCTCTGCACCTAATTTCTAAATAAAATATTCATAATATTCAGGAAATTTATTTCCCTTCTTTTATGCACTTCACACAGATTGTAACTTCAAATAAGTATATTACCTAAATTCAGACACTAGAAGAGAAGACTCAATAACCAAATTCAATATCAATTACCATGTTTGTGATGGTGATGGCTTTGGAAAGTGGATCTTCAGTGTAATCCCATCGCAAGGACACTGTAAGCAGTGAGCCAAAAACACTCCACAAGGATATTCCACCTCCCTCCCAAGTCATGCCTAATACAGTGCCATCTGGAGTCCATTTCATAAATCCTGGAAATAAGGCATATATATTTTATAACATAAAAAAAACTTTGTACTCTCTCCTTCCATTCTTAAATATTGGTGCAACCTTTTGAATATGGTTGCTTTACAGCAATCAGATGGAGCAAAATAAGGGTATTAGACTTCAAAGAGCAGCCGCTTTCTAAACACCAGATGAGTCTACCCTGCATTGATGGCAAGTCTTTTCCGTCACCCCAACCTTCTGCCAAAACGCTCATAATGGTAAGTTCACACTAATGGGCCCAAAGCCATATTTTCCCATGATGGAATGTTCATGTCACCTGCCCCTCAAGCCAAATTTTTATATGACTTGATGGTCACATCATCCGGATCAAAAGGGTCAGTATGTACATTTTATAGTTATCACAATTTCAAAAATCTTACTCACCAACAGGACCGGGCGACCCTGCAAAATCCCGACTGGACAATACGAGTCTATGGGAGACTTCCAGACCCCCAGTGGCCTCATCTACAGTATATACAACACCTTGTGAGCTGAAAAACACAAGGAAAAAATGTCAATATTGTATAGTTAATGGAGTGATATACAGCACTTAGGCAAGCTCATCTACTGTGCAATTCATTTAATCTTTCAAGCCTTTAAAGACCTCATTCAGCTTTTGTTAATGGTGTACTTATAGGTGAAGGAATCAGATAACAACCAATCAAAACTAATGGAAAGAGAATAAGAATCTTTTTGACAATGGTATCATAGTGTTCTTGGTTTGAAAAAGTAGTTGGTAGGCTTCTCTTATACAAAAACAAGATTCTTTTTTCATTACCATCATTACCTAATAAATAAATATTACAACTCAAATCAAATCAGATCATATCTGTAATCACTTGAGATCACCCTCAAAACCTAGAAGAAATAAAAGCACCAACAAAGAGGAAAAGACACCCAGAAGCATATTTAAGGAAAGGCACTACATACAGTCCTGTATGCTAAGAACCTTGGCACATTTCCCAATCCCCTATAGGAAACCCTCCCCCCACACATTTGTCTACTTACTTCGCCCGACCATACGCCAGTAACCTGTACTTGTGATTGATGGCTGCGCAGGTGGCGTCCTCCAGGTCTCGGGCCCAGATCCCTTGCACGGCCTAGGGAAAGGTGTACTCTGCTCACTCTCACACTTCTACACTCTACACTCAAAAACTTACACAGACATATTTTCTTCTTTTGTTTTTATTAGTCATATGGCAAATTCAATAAAAATCATGAGATTTTTCAAAATATGTAAAAATATTTTGTGATTTATGTAAAGATAAATTCCAAAGCTACAAAAAGATTTTATATAAACTTTGCAAAAGCATGCAAGAAGAGCATCAATTATATGCTTCATCAAAATTCATAAAATCAAAATATATATATAATGTAAAACATCTACATAATATTTCTGGGTGATTAGAAATTAATTCTGGTGTTTGAAGTGCTAGCTGAAAAAAACAGAAGCCACTTGCATTCAAAATAAGATAAAAATACATAAATCTATGAAACATTTTAAGAAATCAATCATAAGAATAAAAATAATGATAATGGCAACAATCATATTATACATCATATCAATCATATGTAATTTAATTTGGAACAACAATACTACAAACATAACTACATCTACTTTAACTAAAACCAACAGCACCTCTAACACACAACCATAATTATAATCTTTATGAATATAGCAAACTACCAACTACACTCTACACTCACAATTAAAATCGTGATAATTTTTACAACCAATTACAGCACCATCAATAACTTTCAAAAATGGCAACCAAAGAAAGAAATCAGGATCAAGATAAAAACAAAATCAAAGGCAAACCAAAAAAAAAAAAAAAAGTTCAAAGACCACCATCCTAGCCACAAAAGCCACCACATATAACAGATAATGCACAAACACTTACCTGGACCAATTAACAATGCTCGAAGAGACATTAACCCATACATTTCAAACGGACATTTATCCTAAAGACTACATTACACAAATGCCCCAGCTTTCCAATACCCATTTCTATCAAGCCCAGATTTTCATTCAGGTGACAACATACGACTACAGCTCAAAACAAACTTTGATACCCTTCCCTTCTATGACAAATCAAAACTAATCCCCATACAGATGAGTGGGTGGGTGGATGGATGGAGATAAAGGAAGGAAGGAAGGAAGGAAGGAGGAAGGAAGGAAGGAAGGAAGGAAGGAAGGAAGGAAGGAAGGAAGGAAGGAAGGAAGGAAGAAGGAAGGAAGGAAGGAAGGAAGGAAAGGAAGGAAAGGAAGGAAAGGAAGGAAGGAAGGGATGGATGGATGGATGGATGGATGGATCCCATGGAGGGAGGGAGGGAGGGGGGGGGGAGGGAGGGAGGGAGGAGAGGGAGGGAGAGGAGGAGGGAGGAGGAGGGGGGACTGAGCAGACAAGACAGGGGGAAGAAAAAACAACAACTGTATGAGAGGGAATAGGAGGGCACTGAAGGGGATGGGAGGAGATGGGAGGAGACAGCAGG